CATCTCTGGATTTGCTGCTAATTTTCCATATCCATTACTGTAAAAATGTCCACAGCTGTGTATTGATTTTTTATTCTTCGGCTTACTACACAGTATTTACATTTGTAAGAAAAACTATACAGCATAGCACTTTATTGTGTTACATTTCTTTTTTTTTTTGCCCATTTTGGGACAATAAAGGTAATTTCCGCTGTATTTTATTCTATATAAATAAATATAATAAATATTTAAATTGGCCTGACAGGTTTACCCATGAAAAATAACCAAAAGATGATTACTCACAACACTTGCAAATATTTTTGAAATGATGTGTAATTCAAAGATGTATTTTCCACTAAAAACTAGAAGGAGGAGTCTGGCAGTTTTTTGTAGACAGGACACAGTTAAACCCAGTTGTAGACCACTTTAAAGAAAAGGTGGAAGTTTTCTTAAGTCTTTTTTTCCCCTCCAGGCCAAGGACAATTCAGTATATGTTCATCCTGCATTCAGTTCCTCTTTTCAACAAAGGAGAAGTGTATGTTCTTGTTCCTTTTTTTTTTACCACTTCCACTTTTCAGCAAAATGGCATATTTATGAGGTACACATTATAGTGAGAATTATAGTTACGCTTCTTTTATAACAATAGCACATTAGGGAATATGATTAACAAATTAAAGAATTCATTAAACTCCAAACCAAAAGCACAACAGCAAAACCATGCTGAAAATATCTTCCTCTCGTCTCATTTATCCATAGTTACTTTATCATCTGATCACCTGCATAATAAGAAAAAAAAAAAAAACATTAGCTCAATGCTCAAGTACTTACCATAATTCTAAAAAGACCCTGCTTAAATGTTTCTTTTGACAAAATACAGAAAAATATATTCAAGTGTTTTACACTTATTCTTCTATTCTAACAAGACCATAACTTACCTTTTAACAAAAAACATTTCATTAGTTTTATTTCTTTTTATTGTGTGACATCTCCTCGTACTCATGTTCTTCTTCTTTATTGGTCTTAATCCCAGCAACATTCTCATAGACATGATTTTCTTTCTTATCACCCTTTATTCCCGGCATGTTAACATACCCATGTTCTGGTTCTAAAAAGATAAATATTGTAGATGATTGTTTTTTTCAAAATGACAACGATAGGTCCAAGAGCATATAATACTTTACAAATTAAGCTATTTCTTTAAGCTCTGTTGTAAATGATACATTAAAGCCCATTCAAATACACCCCATAGCCCTACTCAGAGCTAAAATAAATTACATTTACATGAGAACTAGTTACTTGGAAAGTAAACTAATAAGGACATGGAGAGTTACTCAAACAAACCTTTTGTGGCTGATGGTGGACTAGCTTTTTTCCTAAAGATTGGAGGAAAACAACACTGTTTTTAAATAACAAATGCATCATCATTCATTTCATTGTGATCATCAAGCCTCCTTTTGGAGGTTAATATATATAAACATAATACACATAAATCTAAATATATACATTTAAACTACCATCATCACTTATTTGAAAAAATATAACTGTTTTTAACTTTAAATATGTATAAACAATCAAGAAAACAACTTTGCGATAACTCATCACAGTTCAACAAAATGTTGTATGATATTGTATTGTTTGCAACATGTATAAACTTACATTTTTTTATAGATGAAGAAGCCTCCAGTAGCTCCTGCAGCAGCAACTAACAAACATGCTATTACTATTCCAGCAATGGCACCTCCAGAGAGACTTGGTTGTTTTTCTAAAATAAAACAAAAGATACAAGAAAGTAGCTTAACAAAACTTAATATTTAAAACTAATATATGGATATAGTAGTTAGTTAGCAAGTACAACACATGTACACTGTACTTGTTTGGTGCTAAGTGTGTTAATTTCTGCAGCTGCCTTCAGTATCACGCATCTTTATTTTTAGGTTTTCTTATTTTAATCTAAATATCTTCTTGACCAGGCATTTTATTCCATTCTATTATCATTATACATTTATTTTTTGTAATGATCTCAGAATATTGGACCCAGAATTCAAGGCGAGACAGGCAGTGGGAAAGTTCAAAGCGTTTATTAACCAAAACAGGTGCGTGGGGCTGCTCGTCTGCTGCGGGCAGATCTCTGCAGGGATAGGAGAATACAGGTCAGAGACTGGATGTGGAGCTGAATGCGACTTGGATCTAGTCACTGACCTGATTCAAAGTTCAGCCCGTTCGAGGAGCTTTGACCGCTGTTTGCGGCGGGCGACTTCCCCAGAGTTCCTAGAGAGTGAGCAGCAACAGAGTCCAGAAGGGAAATCCTAGGCCGAAGTCAGGAGACAGTTCCAAGTTCAGAAGCCGGTAGAATCCAGGACCAGATGCGACAAACAGAGCAGACAGGGACAAGGCAAAAACTCGAGACCCACAGGGCAGAAAACTGGTCATAATCAGGAAAACAGACAGAACTAAAGATTGCTCGGAAACGTCTCACCAAAACACACGAATAACCTGGTGCTGATGGGAGGCAAACACACAACTTAAATAGTAGAGGAACCAGGTGGAAATGATCGGCAATAATCAGTCGCAGAACCAATTAGACAGCTGAGCAAGGAGCAAAGGAAAAAACAAGATCATAACATTTTTACCTTTTATTGTGTTTGTTTAAACTGATTTTGGAAACATTTAAGTCAAACCTGAATTAAAATATACTGCAAAATGTCTTGCTCAAAATATGACATTTCCTTTTTTTAAGGGACTGTTGGCAACCCTACTGTATGTAGAGCCATCATGTTGGAAAGGTCGACATTCATTGTGGTCCTTTTTGGCTAGCACAATGAAGTATCAGGGCATTTTTGCAAGTTTGCACTGGCTTTTGGTAATTTTTAGTATATTATTTTTTATTTTAATTATTATTTGATGTGTATTCTTTATTTTGTTTGTCATGTACAGGACTTTGGACAGAGGTAATGTAACTGTATAAAATGTGCTATATAAACAAAGCTGGCATTGACAGTTTTGCACTGGGGCGGTTTGCAGCCAAAAGTGAAGCGGCCAGGATGAGATTCATCATGACCAAAATAAAGAGGGGCCAGATGCAAGCCGCTGAAATTAGCTTTCTCCCCAGGATGGCGGGGCTCTCACTTAGGGATAGCAGGGGTTGACGTTAAGGATTTTCGGGCAAGTGACTTTCACATTTCATTTGCCCAGAAAGAATTTTTACTTGCCCAGTATAATTCCCTAAAAGTAAAAAAAAAAATAATAATTTTCACTGGACTTGGTTTCCAAGATTTGAAGACGTTTCGCCACCTCTCCAGGAAGCTTTCTCAATTCAAATGTCTGGATCCGCAGTGAGTTGAGTCTTATATAGACAAGGCCTTGCATTGCTTGGAAACATGCAAATGTTAACCGATGTATGGGTCGTTTGACTATGTCTCTCTGCTGGCCTGGGGGCACCTTCTGCATCCCCAAGCAGACTTGGAAGAGGTGTCTGCAGAGGGAAGTCTGAGAGTCTCAGCTGAGACTGCTACCCCCATGACTCAATCTATAGTGAAGCAGGAGACCATGAGTATGAGTAAATTGATGTTTAAATAATCATAGCTCACTAAATACCAAACCTTCTGCACTTTTTGTACGCCAAACCCTACAAATTCAGCAACATGTTTATGGAAACTGGGTTTAGCTCACTTAATCCTCTAAAAAATAGTTAAGAAGCATAATATTAAAACATAATTAAAATCTCAAAAAGGTTGCTTTTGCATGATAAAAGCCCTTTAAAACAGCTGAGCTATCTGATTGATATTTAGTTGACAGGGTTTAATCTATCATTTTTCCCTTAACTATTATATAACCTATTCAAAGTTTTCACACAAAGTAGTGAGAACTGTTCATATAAACTTGTGAAAAGTTTTACCTTTCATACACGCTAATGAAAAGCTTTCATGCATACTACTAAAAAGCTCTCATATACACTACTAAAATGCTTTCATGCATACTACTAAAAAGCTTCATATACACTAAAAAGCTTTCATGCATACTACTAAAAAGCTTTCATATACACTACTAAAAAGCTTTCATACATACTACTAAAAAGCTTTCATATACACTACTAAAAAGCTTTCATATACACTACTAAAAAACTTTCATACATACTACTGAAAAGCTTTCATACATGCTGAAAGCAGAAAGCTTTTTCAACTTTTTCACTAGATAGATATAAATAGATAGAATGATGTAAAAAAAGGTATGCCTTGACTTCGCCATACAACATTTTATGTAGCTAGTTTAATAATGACCAAATCATAATATATCAGAGGAACTCTTGCATATGACTTTATTCTGTTAGTAATACAAATATGTCTGAAAACGTTTTGCTATGATTCAATTTCAGTTTTTATCTGTCCTTTCAATGTCATCTGGGCAAACGTCCAAGGATTCACGTACATTGGTACATGGGTGCTTTACACTGACTTTTCAAGTGATTTTTTGTAAAAAGGGAGGAACTGCTTCATGTGCTGCTCAACACCCTGTAGTAGCCATGCCCTTTGCTGCGGATCTGTGGTGAGTATTGTTACAAAGTCAGAGACTAGCTTCACCCCTCGCTCAGCTGTGTCATTAACAACTTTGAACAACTTGTTCAGCAACAAGAAATGCTGAATCGGTTGACCACTATGTGACTGGTTTGGCAAGCCAGTCAGTTTTGAGGTCCAGAATGCGGAACAGTGCATGAGATTCAGGTCCAATCAAATCTTTCAAAGTCGTGTTGCGGGTAACCTTTTGGAAGATTGGCTTTACAAGACGGAAGTGCTCTGGTACTGGTGTTGCCAATAGCTGAGTAGCCATTTCTTGCTCCAAGTTGTTGGTCATTTTTGGACTCTTACTGAACATGGCGAGTGGAACAACTTCCTTTGAAAGGAACCACCCATGGTTGTGAAGCTTCTCAAGTACAAAGTCTGCAACAGCCTTGTCAACTTGGCGGAAATCCATCATGTTGTGGATCAGCTCAAGATCATTCAATGGAGCGCCTCCATTGCTGACTCCATTGCTCAGTGAAGGCTAGCTCCATTGTTACAGGTATATCAAACTGTGTATATACAGTGTCTGAAAAAATATTTTTTTCAGGCATAGTATGAACATTTAAATGTGGAAAAAGTTCACAATCAGCTATTCCATGGAAAAAGATGTTGTTGGGACATCATTTGACTAGTTACAAAAAATGTAAATTAAAACAAGTAAAAAATCAAACTGGTACATATTTTCAGAGGCCTGGTGGATGTCAGAATAACTTGCTTACAATCTGTAAAGATAATTTTAGATAAGAAATTCAGAGAATAATGTGCGGACATTAAGATCTAAAGAGAAGCATTATCTCCTGGTCAGACCCTGTAATTTAGTGAACGGTGGAGTTAGAGTAAAAAAATATGCACGCCAGTGGCTGGAAGTTGTAGGGGATTTTATTTTTTTAACAGTTTCCTGTCTGACAGTATGGCAATAATAATAATAATAATTGTATCGAGCCCAAAAGATATTGCTTTCACAAATGGAGCAGTATGGCTATCGCCATAGTAATGCATATAAAGTAATGCACATAAAGCTTTTTTATAATTCATTCAGGGAGTATTACAGATTATATGGAAACTGCAATGTAAGTAAAACAGAAAAAGAAAAAAGGATAAAAGATTAAAAGAAAGAGGAGATAAAAGGGAGACAATGATAAAATGTCTTCTCTCTGCTTTGTCACCTTCAAAGAGATATGTAAAAAGAAAAGCAAACCAACTGATATAGTATAAGAGATACAATAAAGTAGCACCTTTATACTACCACTGAAGTATAAGTAGTCTTACTTAATCTGACATGTATACTGTGGTAGCTGAAAATAAGAACATGAGCTTCCTGTGTGGAAGTGAATCTCTAAGTACCTGGAACCAAGCTCCTGTAGTTGTTTGTGAGAGTGCACTTGTGCATGTAGCGGTTGTGAAAAGCCAAAGCCGATTCTTCCCCACATAGTGCATGACGCCCGTCAGGTGGCATGAGCTGCAATAACCAGCACATTGTGATGTATATATATTAGGGATGGAACAGTTTATGAAAACCGTCCGAACCGTTCGGTTCGACTGTCTCGGT